TTAGGTACATATTTCCGTATTAACTTACGAATTATGTCATAAAATACTGCAACCATATCATCAACACAAAGACATTCACCCAAAATTTCCCTCCAATCAATTTCATTTAGATCCTTCCTTATATTTTCATAATCAGCCTTGTGGAAGCAAAATTTTGTAATTGTGTTATTAGGGACTAGTGGTGCCGGATCTGTAAAATCTATCGAAAAAACTAATGGCGGATGAAGGGGATCAACACATGTCAAAGGATCAGGACATGACAGAATATCAACAATGTTAGTATTAGACAAGACAAGATCTAGCATTTTATTTTTTGAGTTCTTAATTAGATTAAATTGGTTCAATTCATTGCACGAGAGAAAGTCTGTTAAGAGATTCTGTAGATAGCTGTTGGAGTAATTTGCACAAAGATGCCCGTGGGGCTCTAAAGACCATGTTATACTACTTAGATTAAAATCTCCGGCAACAATTATATTTTCATCGAGTGATTCCAATACTCGACTCGAGTTATTAATAAAATGCTCAAAAATGTGTTTTTGGACGGGTGGGGGAATATACACAGCACATATATAAAGTCTTTCAGACTTGCCTTGGACGTTTTCTACTTCTACGCAAACCCAAAGATCCTCGCACTTGGACTCGAAACTAAAGAGCCGCTCCGAATTTATTTGCTTAGATACAGCTATAAGTACACCCCCGCCATTCTTTGAAGCGTGAAAACCACTACTCTCCCGATCACGCCTATAAACATTATAACGATCATCAAAAATTTCAGAATCGAAAACACTCCCATTTAACCACGTTTCTGTCATAATTAAAATATCGTATGAATTACAGACTATGTTATTAAATAGATCAATTGTTTTTGATCTTAGACCACGAACATTTTGGTAGTAAATAGAAATTTTATTCTGTAAAGTGCCTTTATGTAATAAAAAAACCAGTTTAGCGAATTTAGCGCCACTCTATGACAAATTATTGACAGTATCATGATTTCGTATATGAATGTAGTTTGATCCTTCACATTTTCTGACAAAAATCTTTCCATCACGTACCCAAACAAAACGGAAACCGAGCTCTTTCGCCTTACGGCGAGCTGCAGCGTGTAAGATTTTTCCCTCTGGCGTAAGATTTTCAGCAACGTATATTGGAGTATTCTTCGCGCTTGCGATTCCCAAATGGCTAGTGTTAAGCTTATCCGTACTATTTTTTTTATTATATTTGATGGTAGCTGCTAAAAATTCGTCACGTAGTCTTGGACTACTGAACTTTACTAATATCGATCTCGGTCGAGGGCTTTTAGTATTCATTTTCGCTAATCTTGCACAAAAATGTATATTTTCTGGGGCTATAGGGCATTTTATGATATTGCTTAGTTGTTGTACTGTGTTAACTAAATTCTCATGTCTATTCTCTGGAACACATTGGATCTCAATATTTGAAGCTCGTGTCTGCTGTTCAAGCTGCGTAAGACGAGTTATGATACTCTTGTTAGCTGCACGCAGAGTTTCGTTCTCCTTAGTAATGTGTTGCATTTGTGCAGATTGGTTAGCATGATCGGATTTAATTTTATCTATATCTTGGTTTAACGACGACAAAGAAGTTTCAAATGAGGCAAGTGTATTTTTTATTTCGTGAATTTTAGGATGTAAATCGTTACTAAAAATATTGCGCAATTCCTCTCTTATTATTTCACGTATATTACTAGCCGATAAACAAGAGCAATTAGAACGACTTTTTACACGTTGAGTTACGAATTCCATTTCCACTGGTGAGTTTCGAACTGGAGTGTTGGAATTATCACCTCTTGGTTGTTTACACATGCAAACGTCACATATCCATAAACTCTTCATTTCCGAGCTCATCACGTTAAAATCTTGCATTGTGATTCGCGTGCATGCTACATGATATTTGTCATTGCATCGGTGACATTGCAATGACATGGAGTTATCAAGTGCATTAGGGCACCCAGCACATTCAAAGTTAGCCAGGACACATGATTTTTTTATGACGCCAAGATCGGCGTCATAAAAAAATCATGTGTCCTGCGGTGCTCTTCAAACAAGGTGTTTGATGAGCACCGCCCGCCCTTCTTCAATCGCGTTCACTGTCCTCGTCGCCATTAATTCCGGCACCACTACATTAGGAAAAACACACCACCGTCGATAATACGACACGTGTTTTGGCCCTAGACGATACATCCTCAGGTAAAGTAGACTCTGCGGTGGCGGACCGCTAAGTGAGCGGTGAGCTAAAAGTACAGCTATTTATTGAACTCGCTGACGCAACTGTTCCCTACATAATTAAGTAGCGAGTAACTACGTCGTGCGATAAAATCTGTAAACTATTCTCACCTGACGAACGCAGTCGTTTTCTGTAAAATAAACGACAAACCACTACGAAACTCCCGCCTACCCACCAAGCACGCAACCAACCGCTGGTTACCGTGAGGATGACAATCGATCACAGTGCGAGACTGTTATTGGAAAGCAGGCTTAAAGATGTTTAAGACAGGTGACTTAGAAACATTTATTTGTTCATTCAGCAATACACCGTTAATTTTAATATATGTTTCATTAAACATGATTAATGTCCATGTCACACCTATGCTGGTAGTTTTTTTTTAAAAGAATATTAACAATGCTATAAACATTACTAATATTCCCCTTAACCATTCGTGGTAAGCTTAAATTGCTTGTGTTACGAGTGGTTCACGCCAGTAGTCGAATGGCGGATTCGATCCCACGACCTTTTTGAGTTTGCGGTCCGCGCCCTGCAATTAGGCTACTGTCGCTATAATATATATATATATATATATATATATATACGGTAGTTTTTGGGAGCACTAAGCTTTAAGTTGTTGACGAGTACGTTTACCTGGGACATATAGTCCGATTAGGTAAGTCCAACTTCGACCGCGAGGTAAATCGACGGGTTCAACTCGGCTGGGCAGCGTTTGGGAAACTAGGACACATTTTCGCGTCAAGTATACGTACCTCAATACCTTTAAACTAGATTGTACAACCAGTGCGTGTTGCCAGTGATGACTTATGGATCTGACACGTTGTTCTTCACTGCTAGCCGATTGAGGTCACTCGAGGTCGCTCAGCGAGCTATGGGGAGGGCTATGCTCTGGGATATGCTTCTGCGTTATAAATTTAGAAATGAGGATAGCCGTAGTAGAACCAGAGTGACCGACATAGCCCAATGGACTAGTAAGCAGAAGTGGCAATGGGTTGGCCATATAGTTCGAAAAACCGACAACCGACACTGCCCCAATGCGTGTTGGCGAACTTCACATGTCTTCGAAATATTATTTTTTTCTTATTTCTCTGACATGCAGGTTTCCTCACGATGTTTTCCTTCACCGCCGAGCACGTGGTAAACCAGCACTTAAAATTGCAATTAACAATTTCGTTGGTGCCGGCGGAGATTGAACCCGGTTTGCTCGCGTACTGTGAAATTTAAAGCGAGCGCTAACCATCTGAGCTACCACGGCTACTATTACAAGTATGCTACTATTACAAGTACTACTTATTTAAAATCTTACATACTATTACAAGTATGTAAGATTTTAAATAAGTAGTCATAGGCTATTTTGTGTCCAGTGTCCTAGAAATGTTTAGCAAAAATGGTATTTATTTGATTGCAATTACTGTACACGACCAAATGCTCTTTTTATAAAGTGTAACGAAATTACGAACAGCAAACAGCGTGGCAGTTACAACAAATCTCACGAATATCACCAATTTTATCTCCTAGTTAAGAATCTTTCCGGTGTCCAGTTTCCAAGGAATGATTTGTCCCTTTTACATAAAGGCCTAAAGTATAATTTAGCACCTCCGTTTTCCCAAAAATCTTTAGCGACTGTGGCCGTTGACGCGGGATGGTCGTTGTGATTGGGAAGAAAGATAGCATCCTTAAAGTGTGATTAAGACTGTACACGCGTCTTCCATATTGCAATACTGAGTTTCATGTTATTAAGTCATTAAAGCAGAGGGTAATGATCAATAACCTTATTGTTACTTAAGCCAGCCCTCTGTCACTCTTGCTACCTGCGTGAAATAATTACCTAAAATCGCGAGGCGCCCAGGGTAACTAGTGTTGCCCAATTGCAAGAACAAGAAAAGACTTAGCCAGTCTTGGTCTTGTTCTTGTATTTTTGGAAGACCAAGACCAAGACCGCCTAATTTTAGCAAGAACGAGACTTGATGAATTCAGTATAGGCTGCGATATTGATAATTGTAATCAATTAAACCTAACGACCCTCGCTAACATTTTATTACGCGTAAGTAAGTATTAATTCGAACCTAATATTAAAATCCTTATGCATATCCAATTTAAAGTCAAAAATAACAGTACAATTCCTATAATACTAGTTTAATTTTCAACAAGTCTTTAAACTAACCGAATCCCTGCAACGAACTTTAATATTACTTATAATACGGACCGTCGTTCATTTGGTCCCCAGTTTGTTTGACTTGTGACTTTACTGTCCAAGTTGGCTAAGACAAACAGCAAACTGCGAAAGTTTGAATTCTGACTGCTTGAGCCGCTATCGCTAAGGATTCAATTTTAATTAAAGCTTTTGACTACAAACTTTCACTGAGTAGTAACTAAAATTTGAAAATCTATTCATATTTTCCCGGATATAAACTCCCATGTATTCCAAATATACAATTTCCTTCATATTTTGGGATCGATTCGTATATATTTTAATAATAATAATATATAATAAATATAATATGGTGAAAGGAAGAGACGACCCTATCGCCCGCTGGCATAACGGTTATGTGACAAAACTGCTACGTCAGCGCAGTCAATCAGCACCTTGCCAAGAGGTGTTAGTGCTGTGCCTCGGAAAATCTGAAGGTGCAAGGGCCCGCTTGTACATATGGCCCCTCCTTGAAACAGGGTCTGGGAGTCTCCCGTTAATTGACGATTATTAAATGGATGATGGAGCACAGAAGAACGCACAAAGGGCTGCTGCCTGTAGGTTGCTAGGGCGTGTCTGGAGCTGGCACTGGACGCGACAGCTGACCGCCAACCGAGCATAAGTTGCTACACGATATGCGAACTGCCAGCTGAGCATGAGGTGCTGCACGAACTCCCAGCAGACCTTCGCATCCATCATCCCCACCATCTGGCTTGGTGTCGGCAGGGTTTTCGCTAGCCCAGCAATCGGTACCCGGCACTGGTGGAATACGACGGGTTGGAAAATGCAGATGAATAGCAACGTATTGCAGACGTATTTTAGGACGAAAGTAGGAGAAATTGGAGTTTTTGCGTACTGGGTTCGGATGCATTGACTATTTGCTGAGCTGGAGCCATCTATAAACGTCACCGAGCAAAACCTGACAGACCAAGTTCGGTATATCTTGCGCTCAAATGTATTTGCTGATTATGTACGTAACGTGTTTGTTAGTTTGTGAACTAAAAAAAGAACCAGCAATTTGCTACTTTCTCACGAGAAAACGAAGAAGCGTTGACGTAAAAACAAAAACTGATGGTGTGGTGAATTTTCTTTTACAAGTCCTTATAATATATGTATAGGAATCAAAAGGGTTTAATCGTTAAGTAAGATTATTACTCCTGATTATGATAATGGTAAATGGTTGCAAGTTTCGGCTTATTCTGGCCCATGTGCGGTGAACAGTAACAATAGCGCATGTGCCAGTGATTTTCATTTTGCAGCATCCTAAAATTCTATGAAATTTCTGTAGACTGTAGTTAAAAAAGATTTTGAATAAAACTATTATTTACGGATTTTATCGCGTTTAATTACTTTAATTTATTTTTATTATTATCCCGACGTTTCGGGTGCTTTACAGCACCCATGGTCACGGGGGGGACTGAGATGTTTGACGTCCCAATGTCATAGTTAGTCCGGCTACCTTCAGTTTTTTTAATATTAATTTTTGGTCCGATTTACGTAAAACGAGCTTATAGTATCATGAAGTCTTGCAGTGGTATGCTTGGGTTTGGGTTTAATTTTGTTAATTATAGGATCCCAAGCAGATGGTAGCACCCAAATATCTTCTCTATTGAAATTTGGATGTTTTTTTTAATTTCAATAGCCTCGCGTATCATCCTTGGTAGGAATCGGTGTTCTTTTGCGAGAATTTGTGGTTTATCAAATCTAATGTAATGGTGGGGACGATCTTGAACATGTTCGCAGACTGCAGACTTCCCGGAGCGTCGGTGATTCACATCAGCTATATGTTCCTTCACGCGGGTTTTTATAGATCTCTTTGTTTGACCTATGTAAGAGAGACCACATTCACAATCTAGCTTGTACACACCTGCATCTTGTAGAGGTATATTACATTTGATGGATGGTAAAAATTGACTAATCTTCTTCAGCGGCTTGTAGTATGTCCTTATGGACGCTCGCTTCAAGATGTAGCCAATCTTGTCTATGACTCCTCTGACATATGGTAGTAGAGCAGGCGCGCGCTCGACTGTGGCCGGCTTCACTCGTTCACTGTGACGTAGGCGCGGGACCCGAAGCTTGTTGTCTTGCAATACTTGCTTGACGTGCTGAAGCTCCGCGGCCAGATGTTTTCTGTCACAGATCCCTCTTGCTGTCTGAAACAAAGATTTACCCACGGTAGCTAACTGTGAAGGATGATGATGAGATTCACCATTTAGATATCGGTTGGTATGGGCCTTTTTCCTATACACAGTGTGACTAATAGTGTTATCAGGATTTCGGATGACTAAAACATCTAGGAAGGCTAAAGAATTATTTGTCTCTAACTCAATAGATAAACACAATAGATAGCCAGATGTGAGGCAATGTTCAAGTAGTATTGCATATTCTTGAGGCATGTTATTTTCTTCTAGCTTCCTAGTTACAATTGAGATGCAGTCCACAATAGGTAGGCATGTAAATAGTGACTGAACATCAAAACTGACCATAGTTTCATTGTTAGCGAGATGTAGGTCTTTTATCTCACTCACAAAATGGTACGACTCCTTTGTGTGTGTTCTGGTATGTCCTCTCAGTGGTGATAGTATTTTTGCTAAGTATTGTGCCAGCTTATAAGTTGGTGAATCGATCTGGCTCACTATGGGACGTAGTGGAGCGTTTGGTTTGTGTATCTTCGGTAACCCATACAACCTCGGTGGTTTGGCACATGATGGTATTAGCGAATTCACGTCGAGATTTAATTTTTCGGAGTGACCATGGGTGCTGTAAAGCACCCGAAACGTCGGGATAATAATAAAAATAAATTAAAGTAATTAAACGCGATAAAATCCGTAAATAATAGTTTTATTCAGTGTGTAGTGTTCGCGTAAATTTAAGAAATCATTATAAAAAAGATTTTTTTCAATAAAACAAGGGACATGTTAACTTGTGGTCTACCTGGTGGTCAGTGGGTTCTGCATTCCAAGGACACCTGCAGCTAACTTAAGACAATGAAGGCTGCAGATGCGTTGTCATCCCCAAGGACTAAAATGGTATGTCTCACTATCTCATAGCCTGCAATTACTCGTATAATGGTAATGTTGAGTAGGACACAATTTAGAAACGAGTTTTTTAATATAGCCTCTTTTTCGTACTGAGCCAGGACAATGATCCACTTTAACCGGTGATACATTGTTCATTTGAAGTAACAAGTATGTAATTTAGTGTTCCTTTATTTGTATTGCTGTCTTAATGTGTAACCTAAAACTTGTCACAAAGTAAAAAGAAACTATTGAAAATGGACATATTAAGATTTCTCAACATTTTTACTTATTTTATCCATCGTAACATTTTGTGAAGGTGACTTGTTTGTAAAACATATAAGTAGATACAAAATAAACGATGTCTATATGCATTTTATGCAAATTAAAATATGGTATCACTCATGGTCATCTATGAGAATGCACTGCCTCTAGTATATCCAACACCACGCTAATACTGGTCTTTTATACCCCGCTGCAACACAACTGTTCAAGCACTTCTATTTAGTGACAGAAATAGATAAAAGGATGTTATCTATCCAGCAGGAATCCTACCACTTAGAATTTCCATCTAATTAATTACAATCTTAACTTTATTCTAATTATCATAATCTGTGTCCAGTCTTTTGTATTAACTGTTTGAGCTGACTGTGACATGACTTTCTTGAGGTTGTAATAAAAAATGGTTGTGATTAGAATCTATGAAAAATTGCGCATACAATATATTATATAGAAAAAAATAACATAATAAATTTGTAAATACGACTTCTGTTACGCAAAATTGTACTATGCACAGTTAATATTTATTTAAGTACTTATAATAACGCAGTGGTGAAAAATAATCTGAAAAATCACCTTTCATGTGACGCATATGATTCATAGTTTTAGATCTAAGAGCACAATGTTCTAGAGGTACAACGATTATAATCATGTATCATAGCGTAATATTCTTAGCATACATCTAAGCATAATAACGAGCGCACAATCCACCTGATGGTATATGGATGGTGGGGCCCATGGACATCCACATTTATCCTCAATTAAGAATCAAAATGTAAATGCGTTGTCACCCCTGAGGACTAAGATAGAATGCCTCAACTCCAGTAAAAAAGGGTTTTCGGTTCTCTACACTCACCATACGAAACATAGCAGGATTACGCTGGTATTTTAAGCTGGTATTCTGTGATAACGTAGTCCGGCCCGGTCAAGTCGATCCATTTGTGCTACAACTGTAATATAGCTGTAGCGTGGCTCTACCACATAATAAAAGTTTATATCCCTAGCACCCATACATAACATTTGATACTCATTATTGTTATGGGAATATGCAATACAATATATTACTATGTTAACAAATAAAATAATGCCTCTTATTAATTCATTTAAGAACCAACCATTTCTACTTGGTTACTAAAACCTCCACGATACCACTAAATATAAACAGACTCTGTCACAGGAAGACAAGTTGAAGCGTGGAGTTAAATTTAACATAATGTTTAAATGACCCTCACAAATGGGTTTACTTTAAAAGATAATATCTTGAACAAAGTAATATAATTTCAATGCACTAGAGGAAATGCACTTGAAATTAATTTTGAAATCTTTATTGTTTACGAAATGTTAACTAAAGTGTTCACCTTTATGAGAATAACCTTTTTTATTATAGGATAGTGTGACAAACGAGCACACAGTTCTCCTGATGGAAAGGGGTTGCTATGGCCCATAGACATCTACATCTACCCCAGATTACAAATGAAATTGCAGATGCGTTGTTACCAGTTGGGACTAAAATGGAATACCGCGTTTCCATTAAAAAGGGTCTCCGGTTCTTTACACTCACCATACGAAACACAGCGGCGTTCAGCTGCTATTTTACGACTGTATTCTGTGTGAGCGTGATCCTTCCCCGGTCGAGCTGACCCATTCGTGCTAAGAGAGAATTTTTTTGTTAATTGATATAATCTTGTAAAAACTTTAACAGTTTCCTCGTATTCATCCTGAAAAAATATTGTCAAGGGTATGATTGCTACTGCTACATATATACATAGCGAAATATCACTGAAGGCTGATTTTTTGAGAATTGAGTTGGTGTGCACTAGTTGTGACTCTGTACCAGACAGTACCTTTGCCTGGGAAAAAGAAAATTAAAATCAAAATGTGGTACGTAAGTAAAAACGACATAACGTATGTATGTATATCATAAGATTATTTTTGCACAAAATAGTCACTACATTATTATCCCTGTAGTAATATCATTTTAAATTGTCAAATTTAAAATTAAAGAACCTTCATTCATAAATTTATAATTTTTTAATGTCTTTTTTGTTAATGTATACTATAAACTTGAGTAAAAACTATCGAATGACAACATATCGATATTTTCTTACAAAAATATAAATTTATATCGTTGATACTTCTGAACGCGTTATATCTTTATTCGATATTTTTAAGGTATCGAATTCGTATCAATTTCGATATATTTTAAAATGATATATCTATTATTAAAAAAATTTAAAACATGCAAGAAAAGCAACCGTAAAAGCATTCTGCGCTGTTGTTTTTGTTTTCGTCATCTCAACGGTAAGTAAGAAAATTTTGCCACACATCCTACCACATCATGCGTAAAATGACGATATATATATCGTTATTTATATTCACTTGTCAATCCCTATTTGTTTATCAGCCTGTAACAGTTGGTATTGCACGGCGCGCGAGTGATTGGTAGCACTGTTTCCTCAGTCGCAATCAGGGGGGTACACTTCCATAATTTAGGTTTGCAAAGACACTAGTGCCATCTTTTACTATATCCGCATAAACTTTCTAACATTAAATTCTAAAAGGTGCGCTAGATGGC